CTTCTTCTTCTTTTCATTCTTCTTCTTCTCTCATTCTTCTTTTCATTCTTCTTTTCATTCTTCTTTTCATGAAGAAGAAAAGAAGAATGAGAAGAATGAAAAGAAGAATGAAAAGAAGAAGAAGAATGAAAAGAAGAATGAAAAGAAGAATGAGAAGAATGAAAAGAAGAATGAAAAGAAGAAGTATTCCAGTACAGCAAAAAGTGTATCTGCAGAGAGCTCCACTATTTCTGACAGTTCTCTGACAGTTCCAGTGGTTGACAGCGGTTGAAACATTGTATCTATTTATTTCCGAATAAAAACATCTGTATCCTAAATGGAAACAAATAGATACAATGTTTCAACCGCTGTACATGTGAAGGAACTGTCAGAGAACTGTCAGAAATAGCGGAGCTCTCTGCAGGGACACTTTTGCCGGCTGATCGGGAAAAATCCGATTCGCGCACCCGAATTATGCAAATATTCGGATTCGACGCGAATCGAATTTTTCCTGAAATTCGAAACGAATTCCACTTCGCCTGGTTCGATTCGCTCATCTCTACTGGTGGCCATCCCACACAAAGGCAAACAGTTCTGACACTAAGGATCTATTTGAATTGAACAGAAACCATTAAATGTCTATCACTTGAAAAGAAACCATTAATGTCTATCACAGCATAATATTCTCCTGCCTCTTTGGCAATTTTCTCAATGATAGAGATCATATCAGGTACAGCTGACTTTAATAGAGGTACCACTTTGTTTAGACCTCTTTAATCTACAGTCATTCTATATGTCCCATCTGGTTTCTTTACAGGGAACACCGGAGACAAGAAAGGACTTACAGCAGGTCTAAGGATCCCTACTCTCAACAATTCTTTAACAGTCTCCCCAATTTCTTTGTGACCTCCAGGAAGTCTGTACTGCTTGAGACAGGCTGATTTCTTTGGTAAAGGAATGTAGACAGGGATCCATTTGGCATGATCTCTGACCACAGTCTTCAACGCCCTAACCAGATACGCTTTATCAGGATACCCAAATGTGAATTCACCCTGTTCAGTCTGAATTGACTGACCTTGAAGTACATCCATCCCATGAGTATTTTCAGGTAACTCTGATACCAAAACATTTGTCCAAAATCCTGGTATTTTGCCAATAGCCAATTTCACCCGTGTCCTAATTGCTGGTTTGGTTTGCCCTCCCAACCTTTTACATAATTCACTTCTCCTTAATGATGGGAAGGATTTCCTTTTAAAAGTGTAACCTCTGCTCCAGTATCAACTAAAGCCATCACATGTGTAGGAGAAGATGACTTTCCCTACCATACAGTGACAGGTGCATATGGGCGTCAGTCTCCTGCTGTCACTGTCTTCACTGCTATCACAGGAAACCCACCTTCCCTTCATAATGGACAAGGAACCTCCCAGGCCCCCTTTCTGAGTATCTCTAACTCTTCCCCTGGGTAAAGGGATTTGGGTTTGGGTTCATGTGCAGTTTTGGGAAAGGCTTTGGGACTAACAGGAGGGGTCTATTTTGTTTCCTCTAAATCTAGGCTGATATTATCTTTACTAATCTATCTAATCTTTAGGTACTCCTGCCTTTAATAGGTCTACTCACATTTGTTTCCTAGAGATAACTAGCCTGGTTTTCTCTTCACCTCCTGCCTTCTCTACCATATTACCTTTATTCTCTGTTCTTTTCTGCTTGTTTTCCTCTTGTCTGGTCTTGACCTTATCTAATGCCCTGACAGGTTTTGTTTTAGTCACCTCTAGCTCCCCCAACTGCCCTTAACAGGGTAGGTAGTGGCTTCATGAATCTTGCTGTTTAATCCCAGGCCTCCTAGCAAGGACAAAGATAGAGCCCTGAGATTAAGTGGCACAGACTTCATCAGCTTAGAGTGTAGAGCAGAAGTAAAGGGTTCCATATCTGGACCCATCCATTCTGGAAACTTATTTAATTCGGTTATATAGCCCATCTCACGTAACCTGCCTTCTCCTATTGTTCTCCATGAGTAGGTATTTTCCAGATCACTAGGGTTAGCACATACTCAGACTAACCCATCTCTCACGAAGTCTAACAGTGAAGAATTCACAGTAAACTATTGGGCTTTTCTCATGGCCTGACGCAATTGTGCGCCATGGGTTAACACTCCCATAGCCACTGCTTCCTTGCCTGACAAAACGACACTGTCCACCTCATCATCCCGCAAACTTAGGAGCCAACTCAAATAATTGTTCCCGGGACCTCTGTTTGTATTGTTTTGCCAGCTTATGGAGTTCAGTTTGTGTAAACTCCCTTACTTCTTCAAATTCCACATCTCTGGGGTTGCGGTAATGCACCTCCCATCTGCCATCTCCTCTCTATCATGTTGTCTTTTCCTATGCTTAGTAATGAGAGGTCTGGCACACCTTTTCTTTCCCACTAGAAGATCATCATCAGAAATATCAAACAATATCCTCACAATTCCAGTTTTGAGATGTAACAATAGCCTGTACCCTGACTTTACTATCAGGTTTACAGCCCTTCTTTTACCTTAAGGCATTCATTGATATGGCCATGAGGGCTGCACACTGCTCTTGCAAATCATCAGGCCAACTAGCAGTTGAACATACACACTCCAAAGCAACTGCTAGCTGCTCTTTTAATGCCTTAATTTTTTCCTCTGCCTTCTCCCTCCTTTGTAATTCAGTATAGTGAGCAGGAAGACAGAACCATCCAACTAAGGACACTGTCCTCTTCTATGCTTTACTTAAATCAAATCCCTCAAGGCAAAATCTACAAAATGATCTGAATCTTTATTACCCCAAGAATTATTCAAGGGAGAAGCATACTTTGCAAATTCTTTAATGATAGGCTTCCCATAGTTGCCAACATTTAAAAAAAATTTTTAGGAACATTTTTTTATTGTATATGCCGGGTGTCGGCAACCCGCGTCTCCAGAGCCGCATGCGGCTCTTTTTCACCTTGGCTGCGGCTCCGGAGCACACTGCCCACCAGGTGACAGGCAATAGAGCAGCAATGGGCAAACTACGGCCCGCGGGCCGTATACGGCCCAGCGGACCTTTTAATCCGGCCCGCGGAGCTAGGCTTCCCCGCTAGGCTCCTCTCACAGTCCGCCCTGAAGACCGGTGTAGCATGAAAATCTGTCTCCTATGAGGATTTGTCCCCCTCGACGTATCTGCGCATGTGCCGGAGATCGCCGATCGGCTGCTAATGCCTGAAACTGGCACATGCGCAGATACGTCGAGGGGGACAGATCCTCATAGGAGACAGATTTTCATGCTACACCGGAACGGCGCGGGAACACGGCGAGAGGAACGTGCGGAGCAAAGGTAAGTGAATTGACACAGGGGAGACTTAATATGGGGGAATAATTAATATGGGGGATGATTACTATAGGGGGGATGAATTACTATATGGGGGATGAATTACTATATGGGGGATGAATTACTATATGGGGGATGAATTACTATGGGGGATTAATTACTATGGGGGATTAATTACTATGGGGGATGAATTACTATGGGGGATGAATTACTATGGGGGAAGAATTACTATATGGGGGATGAATTACTATGGGGGATGAATTACTATGGGGGATGAATTACTATATGGGGGATGAATTACTATGGGGGATGAATTACTATGGGGGATGAATTACTATATGGGGGATGAATTACTATGGGGGATGAATTACTATATGGGGGATTATTACTATGGGGGATGAATTACTATATGGGGGATGAATTACTATGGGGGATGAATTACTATATGGGGGATGAATTACTATATGGGGGATGAATTACTATATGGGGGATGTATTTTCAGTTTTAAAAATGTGGCTCTCAAAATAAATTTCAATCGTGGTTTTGGCGAGATTTGGCTCAGTTGAAAAAAAAGGTTGCCCACCACTGACCTAAGGCTATGATTGTGATTATGACGATACACTGTGGCCCTGATTAACCGTTTGCTTACTGGGCCCTTAAACCCCCTTCATGACCAGAGCACTTTTTGCAATATATGCAGTGTCGGATTTGTTTTAAATGTTGCAATGGTTTTGCGGCTCCCAGTCTTTTTTTTTCCCTCTCGGAAACGGGTCCAAGTGGCTCTTTATGTCTTAAAGGTTGCAGACCCCTGGTATATGCAGAAAGCCAGTGTAGGTGGAGTGTTTTGTAAATTAGGGGGGACATCAATTGTGGGTGTGTCTTGTAAATAAAAAATGGTAGCACCTTCACGTGCCACAACTAGAAGTGGGTGTGGCTTAAATGAATCTATCCGTTGGGCGTGGCTTAAATGGGCTTGGTTAGAGTCTGAGGTTTTCTTGGGCTCCCCCATACAATTTTGCTCTTCATCCCAACAGCCAAAAAATATATAAACACATATATTTATCTACAAAAAAAGCCTTTAATATTATAAACATAAATAACTGGTTGCTAGAAGTTACAGCACATTACCTCTCACTGACTGGTTGCTAGAGCTTATTGCTGTTAGTATAAGGGAGGGTCAGAGACTGCAGTAGTACAGGAGATGGTAGACATGCAGACATGGCACAAGGGATGGTCAAAGTACAGTATGCTCCACCATAAATATCACAGCATGCTCCACCATAAATTACAGTATGTGCCACCATAAATATAACAGTTTGTTCAACCATAAATATTACAGTATGTCCCGCCATAAATATCACAGCATGCTCCACCATAAATATCACAGAATGCTCCACCATAAATATCACAGAAGGCTCCACTGTAAATATTACAGTATGTGCCACCATAAATATTACAGCATGCTCCACCATAAATATCACAGAAGGCTCCACCATAAATATTACAGTATGCTCCACCATAGATATCACAGAAGGCTCCACCATAAATATTACAGTATGTGCCACCATAAATATCACAGCATGCTCCACCATACTGCACCCCCCCCACGCTAAACCCCCCCACGCACACGCTCTTCACCCCCCACCCCCCCCCCCCCCCCACACACACACAAACTCTCTCCCTCTCACAACTCACCTCTGCTACACTATAGAGCGGCATCTGGCTGGTCCGCAGCCACTCTGTCAGTGTGTCATCATTGGTGGTCCTGGTGTGCATCCTGGGCTTGGTCCTCTCTGTAGCAGCTTCCTCTGCCTTGTATGTGAGGAAGAGGACAAGGCTAAGGCGGGTTGGCGCGAATCACCCCTGGGCTGGCCACACCCCCTCACAGTAACATCCAATCAGTATTGGAGAAACAGCCACATGACCTCCTGTCTCTCACTGATTGGCAGTCCCAGGAAGGGGGAGGACAGAGAAGGAGGGAAGAGGATTACAGGGAGGGGGAAAGAATATAGCTAACACACTTCAGTACTAGATGCCCTGACTGCCCTGGCCGACGGTCCATGACAAAATAAAACTTGTCCGTGACAAAAATAATTTTCCGTGATTCAGCCTGGGACAAAGACTGTCCGTGAAAAATGTAAAAAAATTCATGAATGTCCCAGGCAATCCATGACGGTTGGGACCTATGGCTTCCACTCATTGTCTCTGGTCCAAATAGGCAGACCCCCTCTGGACATCAGAAACCTCTGCAGCCTTGTTTTTCTTAAACAGCCTATGCAGCATTTTTACTTAGCACACGTCACAGAACACGCTACAGAAAACAGGTCTGCTTCAGTTGAACTTTAGTGGAAATCCCGGACGAGCACCTAATTATATTTCTCTGTTGCCTAGTAAGGTTACTTATAAGCAAGGAAGGTTAGACCTCTGTGGTATATCAATGTGCTTTTACTAAACAAAAATTCTGTACATACAGTATATCACAGAAATGAGTACACTCCTCACATTTTTGTAAATATTTATTATATCTTTTTATGTGACAACACTGAAGAAATTACACTTTGCTACAATGTAAAGTAGTGGGTGTACAGCTTGTAAAACAGTGTAAATTTATACAAGCTCAACACACAGCCATTAATGTCTAAACCGCTGGCAACAAAAGTGAGTACACCCCAAAATGAAAATGTCTGCATTGGGCCCAATTAGCCATTTTCCCTCACCGGTGTCATGTGACTCAGTGTGTACAAGGTCTCAGGTGTGAATGGGGAGCAGGTGTGTTAAATTTGGTGTTATCGCTCTCACTCTCTCATACTGGTCACTGGAAGTTTAACATGGCACCTCATGGCAAACAACTCTCTTAGGATCTGAAGAAAAGAAATGTTGCTCTATATAAAGATGGCCTAGGCTATAAGAAGATTGCCAAGACCCTGAAACTGAGCTGAAGCACGGTGGCCAAGACTATACAGCAATTTAACAGGACAGGTACCACTCAGAACAGCCCTGACCATGGTTGACCAAAGAAGTTGAGTGCACGTGCTCAGTGTCATATCCAGAGGTTGTCTTTGGGAAATAGATGTATGAGTGCTGCCAGCAATGCTGCAGAGGTTGAAGGGGTGGGGGGGTCAGCCTGTCAGTGCTCAAACCATACGCCGCACACTGCATCAAATTGGTCTGCATGGTTGTCATCCCAGAAGGAATCCTCTTCTAAAGATGATGCACAAGAAAGCCCACAAACAGTTTGCTGAAGACAAGTAGACTAAGAACATGGATTACTGGAACCATGTCCTGTAGTCTGATGAGACTAAGATAAACTGATTTGGTTCAGATGGTGTCAAGCGTGTGTGGCGGCAACCAGGTGAGGAGTACAAAGACAAGTGTGTCTTGCCTACAGTCAAGCATGGTGGTGGGATTGTCATAATCTGGGGCTGCATGAGTGCTGCCGGCACTGGGGAGCTACAGTTCATTGAAAGAACCATGAAAGCCAACATGTACTGTGACATACTGAAGCAGAGCATGATCCCCTCCCTTTGGAGACCCCCCTCCCTCCAAGACAACCACTGCCTTGCTAATGATCCTGAGGGTAAAGGTGATGGACTGGCCAAGCATGTCTCCAGACCTAAACCCTATTGAGCATCTGTGGGGTATCTGTCAGGGATCCCCTCGATCCCCGCCGCGTTGGTCCCGGCGCAGGCGCAGTATGCCGCCCGGCGCAGGGACTCGAGCACTGGTTCCGGGCCGGCCGCGGCGTTCGAGTTCGCGCATGCGCAGTAGAAGCCGCGGCCGCCCGCTGGGCACCAATGGCAGCGCAGGGCGGGATATTTAAACGACCCTGAGCTGTCATTCAGTGCCTTCTGGTCTTTCCTGCATCCTGAATCCTGTGAACCTGTACCCTGTAAGTTATTGACCCGGATTGTACCTGACCTTGCTGTTTCTCCTATTCTGACCCTTGCTTTGCCTGACCTCTCTCCTGAATGCCCCTATTGGATTTGACCTGCTGTTGCTGACCTGGCGTGTGACCCGACCATTCTATGCCCGCTGCCTTGTACCTTGCCGCCCTCTCTGTTACCGACCCGGCCCGTCTGATCTTGCTCATCCATCCATCCATCCCGTGCAGCGGGGTCTTCTGACCTCCTCACATCAGACTCTTCCCCGTGGGAGCCCCTTGCGCATACTGCTACCACTGACGGGCGCACCCAGTAGCCACGACCTGGTCTCAGGGAGCTCCAAGTCCATCCCCCATCAGGGGTTCTGGTGAACAAGCACCCTGGGACTTAGACTCCGTGCGCTGGGGACGCCTATTCAGTGGAGTGCTAGTAGTACCGCCGGGCGGTCCCTTACAGTATCCTCAAACAGAAGGTGGAGGAGCACAAGGTCTCTAACATCAAACAGCTCTGTGATGTTGTCATGGAGGAGTGGAAGAGGACTCCAGTGGCAACCTGTGAAGCTCTGGTGAACTCCATGTCTAAGAGGGTTAAGGTAGTGCTGGAAAATAATGGTGGCCATACAAAATATTGACACTTTGGGCCCAGATTGGACATTTTCACTTAGGGGTGTACTCACTTTTGTCACCAGCAGTTTAGACATTAATGGCTGTGTGTTGAGTTATTTTGAGGGACAGCAAATTTACACTGTTATACAAGCTGTACACTCACTACTTTACATTGTAGCAAAGTGTCATTTATTCAGTGTTGTCACATGAAAAGATATAAAATATTTACAAAAATGTGAGGGGTGTACTCCTGTGAGATACTGTGCAATTACAATAATAAGAAAACAATACAAGATTGACAGATATACATATAACAAGCAAAATTCTACTTACTTCATAGCAAATAAGCAAATCTGTGTACAATGGAAATATGCTAAAAGATTACTTAACTCAGGTTAGAGCGGGTTCACAATCTCCATAGGCAAAGAGAACCCAAGCTTACTCTACAGCAGTTGCAGGAGATTGGGCAAAAATGTCTTCTTTTTTCACAGGTCTTCCTTGGTGTTAGGTCATTTTAGAGTCCTCCTTTGGTTTCTGTTGTTGGCCTTTTGTTTAGAAAGCATAGATAGCCACATGGGTGTAGTCCTTTTTCCTGCCTTATTTACAGTGTCATATATAGGTGAAACACTCTTCAATTCACCCTCTACATGACACTGTTGTATCATACATGCCATAGGTCATATATGTCAGAAGGTCAAGCTATTGTTTTCCATTGACTAACTTGACTTGTTGTTTTCAGTTACATAATTAAATGTAGAACAATAGAAGAACCCAAATACAACAATGGTATCTAAGTTCTCATTGTTGTAGTAGACAGCTTGCGTAATTGCTGCCAAGGCATTTGCTTGAGAACTCCACTCAAACATTCAAAAGTAACCTGATTTCTGTTTCTAAGACACATTAACAAACACACCCTTTCATGTAAGTCTAAGAAAAAAATCATAAGACAGACATATATTTATATCAAATGCAATACAATGATTAATATACTATGAGCGCATTGTGCCAAGGCTGCTATCATACTGTACACTCTGCACTCCTCTCCTGAACAAATTGCTGCTATCATACTGTACACTCTGCACTCCTCTCCTGAACATATTGCTGCCATCATACTGTACACTCTGCACTCCTCTCCTGAACATATGGCTGCTATCATACTGTACACTCTGCACGCCTCTCCTGAACATATTGCTGCTATCATACTGTACACTCTCTGCACTCCTCTCCTGAATATACCTCCTGCAGTCATACACTCCACACTCCTCTCCTGAACATATTGCTGCCATCATACTGTACACTCTGCACTCCTCTCCTGAACATATTGCTGCCATCATACTGTACACTCTGCACTCCTCTCCTGAACAGATTGCTGCTATCATACTGTACACTCTGCACTCCTCTCCTGAACATATTGCTGCTATCATACTGTACACTCTGCACTCCTCTCCTGAACATATTGCTGCTATCATACTGTACACTCTGCACTCCTCTCCTGAACATATTGCTGCCATCATACTGTACACTCTGCACTCCTCTCCTGAACATATGGCTGCTATCATACTGTACACTCTGCACGCCTCTCCTGAACATATTGCTGCTATCATACTGTACACTCTGCACTCCTCTCCTGAATATACCTCCTGCAGTCATACACTCTGCACTCCTCTCCTGAACATACTGCTGCCATCATACTATACACTCTGCACTCCTCTCCTGAACATATTGCTGCCATCATACTGTACACTCTGCACTCCTCTTCTGAATATACCTACTGCAGTCATACACTCCACACTCCTCTCCTGAACATACTACTGCCATCATACTGTACACTCTGCACTCCTCTCCTGAACATATTGCTGCTATCATACTGTACACTCTGCACTCCTCTCCTGAATATACCTACTGCAGTCATACACTCCACACTCCTCTCCTGAACATACTGCTGCCATCATACTGTACACTCTGCACTCCTCTCCTGAACATATTGCTGCTATCATACTGTACACTCTGCACTCCTCTCCTGAACATATTGCTGCCATCATACTGTACACTCTGCACTCCTCTCCTGAACATATTGCTGCCATCATACTGTACACTCTGCACTCCTCTCCTGAACATATTGCTGCCATCATACTGTACACTCTGCACTCCTCTCGTGAAAACACCTCCTGCAGTTATACACTCCACACTCCTCTCCTGAACATATTGCTGCTATCATACTGTACACTCTGCACTCCTCTCCTGAACATATTGCTGCCATCATTCTGTACACTCTGCACTCCTCTCCTGAACATACTGCTGCCATCATACTGTACACTCTGCACTCC